TGCAGTGATGTACTGTGTGTATACGTGCTTGCAGTGGTGTGCTCTGTGCAGTGATGTACTGTGTGTATACATGATTGCAGTGATGTACTGTGTGTGTACATGCTGTGCAATGATGTGCTCTGTGCAGTTATGTACTGTGTGTATACATGTTGTGCAGTGATGTGCTCCGTATGTACACTCCACTCTGCAGACGCACGGTGCTCTGTGACGGTGTAAGTTTCTAGAATGCTTTCCCAGAGTACATTGCGTGGCCAATATGGAGGAACTGACGGTAGAAGTCCGTGGCTCCAACGGAGCTTATTACAAGGTAAAAACATTCAAATCATTCCGATAAAATAAATTATCTAAAAAGGAGAAGAAAGCTTTGTGTACGGAAATGTACAGGTTGTTTTCACGGGATTGTTCTTGCTAAATAAATCTGTAAGAAAGTGCCTTTGACGAGGACACAAAAATGTCTGATCTTTTGTCAGTTACATTATGATTTATTTACATACTCACGTATATATGCATTTTTATATTCTAGAGTTTGATAACCCATATTATGTATTCAGTCTGGAGATATATATTTGTAAACTTAAATATTTGAACTTTTTTGGACTGATATATTCTTTCCCTTGTTAATACAGGCCTATCTCAGGTGTTATTTAATAAGGATTAATATTGTTCGTTATATTGTTACGTTATTCATGTTGACAAGATCTTTGATGTTTTAATGGTGGGCATAGTTTTTAATATTTTATACAAAATGAGTGGAACACGATCAGCAGTCACTGTGGGATTTGTAAGTACTGAATCCGTTGACTTGCTCAGCCTGGAGGTCTGGTGAGTTTAAGAGAAGTTTTATAAAAGTGCAGGAAGATTCAAATGTGTTGAGAGACGCACCTGAAGCGTCCGTGTATCTCATTCCCTTCATTTGCACGATGATGGGAAAAGGACATTTCCATTCCTTTGTTCCATTAGTCTTGTTAATATGCCAAAGTCTACTAAACAGTAGCTGTCAATAACGTAACTATATTTTTGTTTTTATAATCCAGCTCTTAGATGTGCCGAATCTTTTTAATAAGGGCCTTTTCGTATTTCTGAAATAAAGCGTGACAGGTCTAACGACTGATATGTGTTTAGGTTGGGTCTAACTGTTGTTAGGGGAACTGATTATGATAAACACTTGAAGCAGAAGAACCCGTTCTGATTCTAATACAAAGGAATCTCCCTTGTCGTAAGAATGGAAGTTGAAGGGAATGTCATTTACTGCACACTGGGGGTGGTGGAGGGGATCCCCATTACCTGTAAAGCAGTTTGAGTGGAGTGTCCAGAAAAGCGCTATATAAGTGTAAGCAATTATTTAAGATTGGAGGCCTGGTTTATAAAATATGTGGCACTGCATGCAGTTAAATTCACTGAAGAGTTTGTCTTTATGTGACTTGAAAACTATCTCCTGTGTTCATATGAAAATGCAGTGTTTAGTTTAGCGGTGTCTTTGATTGTGAGCTCTCTGTTTGCTTCTTCTGCATGTCATTTCACTGTTGCGTTTGACTTGCATCACTTTTGTATCTTATATGTAACAAGTAGATTATTGTACTGTCGACTCCTTAAAAAAATCAGGCTTATACTCTAAATGTAATACTTTGTGCCTTTTACATTTCTTAATTTCCTTTTCCTTTTTAATTTTGTTGTACATAAGCACTAAGATGTGTGATTACTAGATGTTTAGGTATTGACAGCTGTTACTGTCTGTTGAACTAACTTGTTCAGTCCATGGTAGGAAAATACATCTGTTAATAGTATTAAGTAGTTATTGTATCATGCTGAAGTTATTCCTAGAATGTCACTCAATCCCAGAGCAATATGTGGTCTGACAGCTGTTCACTGTCAATCTTGAGCTGTTGTCAGGTTCAAAGGATAACTTGGAACTCTGAGCTATATTTAAAACATGGGCTTACACATAGCTAGTTATGCAAAAGACAGATGCTTTTTACTAAACGCAAATATTTCTGTTATGTTTTCTTTTTTTTAACTTTCTGTAGGTAAAGTAATGACTTATTACAGTATGACTTAAACAATATCTGAATATAGTGAAAAAAACAGCAGTTTATGTAGTTTCAAAGTAGAACATTTTCACAATCAGATTATTATAAAATATAATGTAATGTATAATATAATTATATAATGTAATATCATGTAGTGCTTACATAAGTAAAATAAAAAAGCTATGACAGATGGAAAAGAAAAAAATAGTTTTTGGAGAGAATTAATGAGAAGAGTTTAGTGGTGTTAGTCTCTGGAATTTGTCCTTTAGCAGTCATGCTGTTAACCAGCACCACTTTGCCCTTTGTACTTGTGTGGGTATGCAAATCCTTCTCTAACACAAAGCAAAAGCATCTCTTAAGTATCTCATTAAATGATGTGATTCTTGTTTCATGTAAAATATGTTTCTTCCATTGAAGAAAATGATAAACTGTTGTCAACAGTAGATATGTGATTTCAGACATTTGTTTCTTCATGTATTCTATTTAGACATTTACATAACATCTGTACAGGCTCCTTTCTCCAGTGTTGTAATGAAATATGTTTAAACACATTTTTATAATGCTTTTTGTGCTGCCTTAGAGAACCATCTATAAACACATTGGTTTAGAAGGTTGACATAATTGGAAAAACTGTCAAGGAACTGGATCTAAACTGTCATTTACTTCAGTAGTGTACAGCAGTGGTCTTTAATTCTGTTCCTTAGAGTCTACTATGGGGGATTTTGGTAAGGTTATTGAACTAATTATACATTTAACTGGGTCAGTTTTAGTTTTAAGGTCTAAGACAAATAATGAGTTTAAATAATGAGTTTGTCTGCTTTTTCCAAGGCGTTTAAAAAGTTTGTTTAAAAAGTATTAATATCAGTTAACTTTAAACATCAAATGTAAACACATTCTATTACATTTTGTACATTAAAATAGTATTGCGTGGGTATGCACATTGGATGACTAACAATAACTGAAGGCAGTTAGGATAAATCTGGAAAATGTCATTAAGATGTAACTTGAATTCCTTACTTATGTTTTAGGGATTTGTCAAAGATGTCCATGATGACTCACTTACCATTGTCTTTGAAAATAAGTAAGTATTTTAACAGTAATTTCGTGTTGGGTTTAAAAAAAAAAATCATAACCAAGCTGCTTTGGGAAGAATTCAAGACAGGAAGCTCAGGATTGATCAAGCTGGAAGTGGCTCATTTTCATGCTTCTCAATTTTGCTTTGTGGAATATAAATACTGCCTTCTGCATTTGCAAGCACCTCAGAATGTGCTTTCTGGATCGGATTCTGGCAGGGGCTACTTGTTGGAACCTGTCATGATAACTGATTTGAATGTACATTATGCTTTATATAAAAATAATGAAAGAAATATGTGTCTGAAAGATGTATTTTTATTGTTTTAATGAGAGATCTTAGAATAGTAACTAAATTTGCAGTGATTATTGGATAGTGTCAGATCTTTCAGCCTTGAAAGTGAATATGCTGTAGCAGCAATAGAGTAATGATTTTGTTTCTCAAAGCTGGCAACCAGAACGGCAGGTTCCTTTCAGTGATGTACGATTGCCGCCTCCTCCAGATGCAAAAAAGGAAATTGGTGAAGGTGAAGAAGTTGAGGTAGATTTTTTAATCTGCTGTGTTTTCTGGTTTGTTTTTTATTAGTGGAATTGCTCTGTAATCTATGAGCACGTTGTCTTTAAACTTGTGTGCTGTACTGGTAATTGTTTACAGAAAGAATCTTTAGACAGCAGCTTTTGTGTTTGTCAGTTTATCTGTTTTTTCATGGCTTTTAATTTTTCGAATTCCTTACTCAGATTTACTCCAGAGCTAATGATCAGGAGCCATGTGGATGGTGGCTGGCAAAAGTGCGAATGATGAAGGGTGATGTAAGTAAAGGCTGACGTGTAAGCCCATAGTTTACTGTGTTCTGTTCGTGATGCATCACATATTTTTTCATCTTTATTTTTCACTTAAGGCAGTGAATTGGTGATTTAAACATTTATTGACCTTTAATCAGCTGCCTTATTCCTTGACTATGCCTTGTAGCCAAAGGTGACTGATGATACCAATATGGGATCCACACATTAAGGCAGGTTGAGCAGGTGTCGTCTCTGGAGATAAGAATAAGAATGGTAACAAACTAGAGCAGGCCATTTGGCCTAACTGGCCTGTTTGGTAGTTAGTAGCTAGTTAATCTGAGGATCGCTCCAGTCATTTCCTAATTAAAAGAAACACAGTATTGGCTGGAGCAACTGGGCTGATTATCTTGTTCTTTACTCCCACAATTTTTTGTCTAAGGAAGTACCACCTGTTCATGCTTTTAAATGCACTTCCTGGTTAATGTTTTCCTGTTGAGGGTCTTGAACATCAAAGTGTTGATTTGGTCAATGTTTTTGAGGGCTTGAATACTTGTTTTAGGTCCATTCATAGTCGCCGTTGTTCGAGACTGAAACAGTTCAGCTTTTTTAGCCTTTCAGCATAAGACATTCTTTTCAGCCCTGGAGTGTATCTGGTTGCTCTTTTCTCTGGTGACTCCAGAGCACCAATAATATCTCTATACCACGGCAACCAAAATTCTTTATTCTAAATAGGGTCTTACTAGAACATTGTACAGTTTTAACCCTGCATGTTTTGGCTCAGATTTTTCAGACTCTTATCTCTGTATCCTAACCAATTTACCAGATATTTTTCAAACGATAGAGAAAGAGAAGGCAGTGTGAATAGTTTTTGCTTAGAGTATTTCTCACCTTTTTCAATTTTATGTTTTTTAGTTTTATGTAATTGAGTACGCTGCTTGTGATGCCACATACAATGAAATAGTCACCTTTGAGCGTCTTCGGCCAGTCAATCTTAACAAACCTGTGACAAAGAACACTTTCTTCAAGTGCACTGTACCAGTCCCTGAGGATCTGAGAGTTGCGTAAGTGGAATATAAAAAAAAATAGTAATGATATGATATGGTAATACATGTGTGTTATAAGGAGCATGTGTAAGTTTAAATTTAAGTTTCAGTGGAAAAAAGTAGCTACTATGGGAAAAGTATTTTAGACCTCTGCAGAAGTTGTCCATTAAGTTTTAAATAGACTTTGATTTAATTCGTAACTATTTCCCAGGCAAAATATAAAGGTTTGTTTAAGGCACAGGTGAAACTGCAACTTTCACCCAGATATTTGCATTGTCATTAATAATTTTATTTTTTCAATTGTTGTTGTAGATGTGAAAATGAACTTGCACATAAGGATTTTAAAAAAGCAATTGGAGCCTGTCGCATCTTCTACAGTGTGGAAATAGGCCAGTTAGTCATATTGGTGAGAGATTTTGTTTTAATTCTGTGATTCCAGTAATAAGTTTGATGTGATTTTTTTTTGTAAGACACGAACAAAGGTATCATATTAATTATTCAGTGGGTTGAATTTAACTTTTGTCTTTTCCTTTAGTCCACAAATGAAGCCACAATTAAGAGGGTTAACATACTGAGTGACATGCACTTGCGAAGTATTCGTACAAAACTGATGCTCATGTCTAGAAATGAAGAAGCTACAAAACACTTGGAGGTACAAATGTACTTTTGCTTGCTTGAATTTTACTATCTGAATGTACCGTGAGATTTGTTGTGACCTTAGAGAAAGCTCAGTAGAATTTACTTCTAAAATATTCTCCTTAGGTGTTTTTTGCTTTGTTCTAATATGGTTATTAACATTGTTATGCAAAATAGTGTTTACATTTATATGCATGTATCAAATTGGAAATGACTAATTTATATTGCATTTTCACCTATTGATTGTGGATGATTTAACCTTTAAAGTATTCAGTGATCCTCAGCTCTATTTTTTATTTCTGAAATTTAAGTTTCTACCTCATTTCTTGCCTTTCATTGTCTAGCTTATTTCTGTTAATTACTTACAGAGTACAAAGCAGCTGGCAGCTGCCTTCCATGAGGAGTTTACTGTGAGGGAGGACTTGATGGGTCTTGCCATTGGAAGTCATGGCAGCAATATTCAGCAAGCAAGGAAAGTGCCAGGAGTTACAGCAATTGAACTGGAGGAAGACAGCGGTACGTTTAGAATTTATGGAGAGGTGAGTGAAGTGCTTGGAATTTGGTTATTCATTAACTGCTTTATAACTTGGTTGTACTATCATGCCTTTACCTCTCTAAACCTCTCTCTTTTTCAAACCTCTGATGTTTTTCCCTAAAGAGTGCTGAAGCAGTAAAGAAGGCCAGGAGTTACCTTGAGTTTATAGAAGACTCTGCTCAGGTTCCTAGACATTTGGTTGGTAAGTAAGTTTTTGTTTTGTGCTTTAAAAGAATATGCTTTGAGCAGTTTTTCATATGTGTTTTGACATTTTCAGGAAAAGTGATTGGAAAAGCTGGAAAAGTCATCCAAGAAATTGTGGATAAATCTGGAGTTGTACGAGTCCGAATCGAGGGTGACAATGACAACAGACATCCCAGGGAAGAGGTAAACTCTTACATTCCTGCTGCAGTTTGACCAAAGTACAACAAGGAGCAATGTAAAGGAACAGTGTAGTTATCCAGAACATCCATGCGATTCTTGTAACTCACATTTCAGTTCAATTGAATTTTTTAACTTTGAATTTTGTTTTTGTTTGGATACAACTAGAAAAGAGCCCATTTGAATTTTGTAATGGAGAACGGCTCCACAGCCGAAATGTTGTTTTTTTTCTTCTCTTTTCAGCATGGAGTAAACCTTTACTTGTTCTTAGGCATGCTGAAGCAGCTACCTACTTGAACTATTTGAATTATGTGTCCAGCAGTGGTTTGCTTTGGTGAATGTTCTGTTTTAACAACATTCAAGTTTTCATAAAAACCCTTTATATTTATGTACTCCACGAAGCTAAAAATTAAAACTGGATGGTGACATGATGTCAGAGTGATACAATAAAAAATATGAAACTGAGGTGAAGAAATTGTGTGCTGGGATGTTACAATCAGTTTGTATTGAGGTGTTTTATTATATCTCAAAAGAATAATCAGAATAACATGTTAATTTTGGTCTATTGATGCAGGGAATGGTTCCTTTCACATTTGTTGGCACAAAGGAGAGTATTGGGAACGTTCATGTTCTTCTGGAGTATCACATTTCCTACCTTAATGTAAGTTCGTACCAGTCATCCTTAAAATTAAAGGCTAGTTAAAGGAACAGCAGCTCCCACCTAAGTTAATCTTCATGAATTTTGCTTGCTTCCAGGAGGTCGAACAGCTGAGAATGGAAAGGCTGCAGATAGATGAACAGCTCCGGCAGATAGGGATGGGCTTTAGGCCTTCGTCCAGCCGGACTGCTGAGAAAGATAAAGGCTACACGACGGACGAAAGCACCTCTGCTTCCTCCCTGCATGGCAGCCGCTCCTACAGCGGCCGAGGCCGGGGGCGCAGGGGCCCCAACTACACCTCTGGATATGGTAACTCCTCCTCGTGGCTGATGGACCTCCACTGTGATCAGCACAGACGTCAGGGTCATGTTCAGAAAAGCCACTACTGAAAAATGCTACTGCATTTACTGTGAGGGTATGACTGAATTGGACAGGTTCAGTGATGTGGCTTTCCAGTCATTCTTCAAAGTTGTAAATAGTTTTACTACTTCACACGCCAGAAGGCTCAACAGCAGAAACATTTAATTTGACTCTCAGCGTGGAAGTAACGTCTGTGTGCAGTGTGTTGTTTCTTACTGTTTCTTACATCTGAGTAAACAATGATACAGATGTGAAATCTATATATCTTGCCAACAATACGATGCTGAATTTCATCTTGATAATCAAAAGCTCGTTGAGGTCCTTGGATTAAGTGGATTAAGGTGTGTCAAATGGCCTCCTCTCACTTGTAACCATTCTTATTTAAATTTCAGTGTGATTATCATGGCATCAAACACTGTTCTTTTTTTCGTGGAATCACAGTCTGATTCCCAATCATGTGCATTAATTATTTTTTAATTATATTTATTTTAATTTACTTAACAATAGAATAACAATTTAATGTTTTTTTCATGCTGTTATTTCAATGTCGGTAGCATCCTGTTTGGGACAACTCTTCAGTCTGGATTAGTACAGAGCACTAATCACCAGCCATACGGCTGCCTAGTTAACCACTTTAACTCAGATAAAAACAGGCCAATTCTCCATGTAATGGACTCAGACTGCCAAACATTTAATTGATTATGGTATTCCTAAAATAAAGCATGTAGAAATAAGCAAACCTGCTTGCTTAAAAAAAAACTGTTGACACATAGGATTCCAAGCACACAGAGTATTCAAGTTCATAATACTGTACCAACGCCTGGCAGTAATCAATAATACATGCCTTTTACCAGTTGATAATTTTTAAAGATTGAACCTTAATGTTCAGAGTTTTCCCATTTTAAGTAAAACTCTAGAAATGGCAGGTTAATATGAAATACCAGCAGTCAGATCGAATGCAGAAGTGTTTATCGCACAACCCCTTTGGCTGACCATGAGGGGGTGGTGGGTTGGCAACACTGTGTGATGTGACCCCTATGCGTTAGGCACAAATTCGGAGCAGTCCAACGCGTCGGAAACGGAGTCGGACAGGAAGGACGAACTGAGCGACTGGTCCCTGGCAGGGGAAGACCGCGACCGGGAGCTGAGGCACCAGCGGGACAGCAGGAGGCGGCCGGGGACGGGCAGGGGCCGTGGAGGCACTGGAGGCAGAGGGCGGGCAGCAGGGCGGGGCAGTGCCATCTCCTCCATCAGCTCAGGTACCACCTTTGGCTCCTTATTCATGTTACTATTTGGTAGCGTGCATTGCACCATCTCAGCGTTGCAGTTTAATATTTTTCAGCATTTTACATTTACGTGCGTCTTTCAGAAACTTGGTTTTTGATTGCTGTATGTCTGCAAGTTATTTGGTATCAACCCATTTCAGCTTGTTCTGTATTCAGAACCTCTTCATGTGCTCAAATTAATGTTGTTAATGCACAAATTTGCTTTAATACTGTCTTTTATTTGTGTTCTGAAAAATAACTCTTCAAGTGAAGAATTTCCTGTTCTTTCACCCTGTAGTGCTCAAAGATCCTGACAGCAACCCTTACAGCATATTGGACAACACTGAAACGGACCAGACTGCTGACACGGACGCCAGTGATTCTCACCACAGCGCCAGCCGGCGCCGGCGCTCCCGCAGGCGCAGGACTGATGGGGACGCCACAGTTATCGATGGCATGACAGAGTCCGATAGTGCATCGGTCAATGAGAATGGTATAGGTAAGCAGAGTTTGCGGGTCAAGCTATTCACAGCCCTATAAAATAATATTCATATACCAAATGTGAAAAAGGTATCGCAAATGTTAGGTGTACTACAGCAGGATTAAATTAAGGGCTTTTAGTCACTGATGAGTGGGAGAAAGGTATACAGTAGGCTGGTGCTGTCAGTGGTGCAGGTGAACCAGTAGGTGGCGCTCTTTCCTGTGGGCCAGACCAATCTTCCAGTGTGGCAACTGTAACGCTGTGCTCTGGGAGGTGCCATCCTTTGTCTGAGACTTTAAGCTTAAGTCCGGACAGTTTGCTCTTTAAAGATCCCACAGTACCTTTCAGAAGAAGAGGGATGTTAACCCTGGTGTCCTGGTTAGGTTCCACTGTGGGCTTGCAGTGTCTGGCCTCCTTAAACGTTCCCTTCTCCACCTGATCTGCTAATCTCCACATGGGTGCTGTACCTCAGTGGCTAATGAAGAGGGCACCCTCATACATGTTAGGGATCCTTTAGGACAAAAAAATTCACTTGAAAATTCAGAGAAATACCATAAAAGCTTAATCTACGATTGCTTGTCTTTTAATTTTCATTGCAGTAATAAACAAGCTCATGATGTCCGAGTTAACATTCGTAGCTTTGTTCACTACTGATATTAAATGTATGTAGCATTTTAGATAACGAACAACCCCCAATAGATTAATTTAGTATTTTAGTTTTCCTTGAAAAAGAGGTTTTCGTCAAATTTCCTTTTGTAGATGATTTGGAGGCAAAACCTCAGCGGCGTCACCGTAGCCGCAAGCGGCGTCTCCGCCCACCGGCAGAAGACAGGCAGCCAGGTAACAGGCGGACACAGCTCTGTGCGGCCCGTGTCCCGTAGCAGCATGAGAGAACGTGCCGTCCCTAGGCCAATGGCATACAGTGCCCCTGCCCTCCCCCCTTTTCAACAGCTTTACTCCAGGAACAATACAGAGTGAAGTGACACAAGAATGGAACTGCATCCCCTGATCCGATCCATGTGGACAGAAAGCAGTGGATCTGTGGAGAGATGGAGTCTGTACAACACTTGGGGCCATATTGATAAGGCATTTTTTTGTCACATCAGATGAACATTAAGTTACAATCAGAGAAGGCCAGTGTTGGCCATATTACTTAATTGCCAGTGACAAGAAGCTAGTAAGTCTGTTTCCTGATTGATCCCAAGGAATCTGCTTCCACAAAATGACTTGGAAGTTTGATATCCCAATGTACTTTTCTTACTGTGAAGTGCTCATATAAGAGTATCAAAACCCTAATGTTACAAAATCAGAGATACCTGAAGGGATCTTAAATGAATTTGCAAGACATTTCAAGTTACTTTTTTCAAATTTATTTTCTTATATTATTTAAGAGAAGTGAGAACTTCAGGTATTGGTACGTTTTATAAATATGGTCCTTAGTCTGTGTTCACTGGTGGTCCATAATGTGGGGACACCATCTCTACAGATTCTCTTTTTAAAACATTATGATTTTGAGAACACATTCTCTCTTTGGGGTTAAATTCCAGTTCTATTAAATTAAATTATAATTAAATGATATCCCAGTCCTGTGTTTTACAATGCATGCCACTGGAGACTCATATTTTTTAGACTGAACTATTAACTAATACTGTATTATTGCTTCTTACAAACTAAACCTCTAATACAACTGTGCTGTCTTTTTGCCTAAGATCTAATGTTTGGTTTTGAAGTAGCTGTGGCTGCTTCTTAGGTGTGTTTATATGCCAAAGAAAAACTCTGTTCTGTATGTACAACAATAAGATTTCATTTTCAGGGTGATTAACCTTTCTTGTTTTCCCTGATATTTCTGTGCATGGGGAAAATCACTCCTTAAAGAAAATGTCTGTCATGCATTGATTAATCAGTTCATGAAAACAGATACAGTGATACACATCTTATCTTTTCTTCTATTGATGAGTCAGCTTTGTTTACTGTGTAGAAAAGTAATAATGGCATGGGGAAAAGACTTAAAACCGTATAGCTTGGAGGAACTTTGCATTTAATTTCTACTGCACATTGCTTTATCCTTTTCAATATCAATGCTTTGTTAAAGCTGCTTTCACTAAATGGACACTTCCATTTCTGAGAAAGTGCTTACAGCTGAAGCTGTATGCAGAGAACTATTTAACACATCTCAGCACAGTATTTCATTTGCTTCTGTTAAATCTTAAAAGCATTTGCAAAAAAATGTTAAAAATTCAAAAAATACAAGGATGGAATTAAATAATTATAACACCCTTTTTATTATGATAAGAGTAAGAGTATCTAAGAGCACCAGTGATGTGTCTTGTTGGACTAAGCACATTGTAGGATTGCAGCTTTAGGATTAAAAATACAGAGGAACAGTTGTACCTTAGTTACAAATAAGACATACCACAACGGTCAGTTAATCGCCTCTCCATACTACTACATGTAGTCCCTTCCCACATCGGTCAGTGTGCAAAGAGCCACCGTACACTATTCATGATTTTTTTTTTCCAGAAAACAAAACTATTCCTGATTGAACTTAAGGACAATTTATTCTTCCTAAAATCAGTTTTTTTATGCATGAAACTATAATTCAGTAGATGAACCTTTAGAATTCTTTGTGTTCTAGTTACAGTGGCGGATTATATATCACGTGCTGAATCACAGAGCAGACAAAACCCACCAAAGGATAATCTGAAAAAGAACAAAAAGGAAATGGTAAGCTTCGGTCACTTATTGGGGGGGGGAGCATTTAGTATAAATAAAACACTCATTTAATTGTAATATGATGTTTGGTGGTAACAATTGTAGTAGTATAAAAAGTTTTTTTAACCACTACCATACAGTAAACTGCAACACAAATAAAACCTTTGCATCATGAGACAGTTATAATGTGATTCTTAAATTGGTTTAACTTCTTGCTTTTTTCCTTACATTTTTAAAAACAAGTACATGCATGAAAACCTGCATCTTTGTAAGTCTTTTAATCCGGCATAGAAACTGGTCCTGTTTATAGTAAGTGATGCTTGACTTGGTGTTTCAACATGCCTTTTTTTCTGTGTGTTAGGGGCAAGTTGATCTCATAGAAGAACACAGCACATTGGAAAAGATGATAAATGGTCCAAGTAATGGATCTGGTGACGAACTAGGAAAGTTTCAATGCACTCCTACTGAAAGAACGCAGAAGGTAACTTATCAAGGTGATGGAAATAATCAAGAAACCGTGCTGAATGGGGTCTCTTAAGTAACTCAATCTAAATCTAACAGTAACTTTCATGTTACAATAGTGCTTGTACAAGCTTGCCAAAGATAGAAATATGGACTGCCAGATTTTTTTACTGCACTTTTCAGTTCCTTCATACTGGAACGCAATGGGATAGATCCAGAAAATATAATAAGTACAAATTACACTTAGTAAGTTCAAAGTACATTATCAGATGTTGTGCCTTCAGAAAGTAGATTCAACATAAGAAGTTTGCTGGCCGTAGAAAACATAACTCTTGTTGAATAAGACGATTACGGGAAGACCCCTGACATCCTAATACCTGTTATGAAAAGTATTAGCTGCTTTTGTTACGTTTTAATATGCAACCACTTCTTCATAAGAGGAAATTTAGTAAATGCAGTCAAAAAATTGCACTGAATTGTACTTTTCCCATTAGAATTTGTCAGTCTGGAAACTGGTCTGTTTTACTCAAACTTTGTTGTCCATTTTTTTAAATGCTGTAAGACAATTCCTGCGGAATGCTGGAGGAATGGATTTTACTTCTTGTCTGCAGGAACACTGGAGAGATATTGGCAGTGACTGTTTTGCAAAGGGGCTTTGTTTGGTTTATTTATTTAAAAATGTACAGTATTTAAAAACAAAGCATAGATTTTGTTTAAACACTAAACTGGCTGAAAGTGTTTCAAAACATTAATTGAACTACTGAAAGATCAATTTCCAGAATTTTTTTTGTTATGTAAACTGTTGGTTAGTCCGGGATTTTTTTAAATTATCCTTTTGGTTGTTGTGCAATATGTTTTGTATGCAGGTAGTTCTTAAATAAAACTTGATCTTCCATCTTTCGACTTGAATATGTTACCTTTTTTAACTTTCACAATTCTGTATCAATGTTTTCATTTTCATAAAAATAAAAGACTCCTGTGTGTATATACAGTGCTTACTTGGTTAGACAGCTATTTACTCTGTCAAATCAGTTCTCTGATGACAACATTAAACTCAAAAGCCTGCATTTTACCATTGATCCAGTGTTGATGTTTGCTTTGGCAATCTATAATCTTTTAATAAACTTAATGTTCAAAAAAGACAGTTACACACAGAGACTGTTAATCTGTGCTCATCATGGAGGGCCTAACAGAGGTTTCAGATTAATGGTACTTGTCATCAGCTGTCATTTAAATGAGAAACTATTTCCATCATTTTGTGAAACTGTAAGAGTTGATTACAATACCTTAACTCTCCACTAAAAAGAGTATTATTAAGATAAATACCAGTCACTGCATTAGTTATGGAAAATGTGAAAAATGTTCATATAATAACGTGCAAACATCTTAGTGTTTATTATAACTACTAAAAACGATTCCAAACATTATTTAAAAAATCTTTAACACTCATCCCAACCATTCTGTGCAATAAAAAGATCTTCCATTTATCTCCTCTACTTCTTAGCTTGTCCATCAAGCAAGTCTTTAGCTTCATTAATTTTTGCTGCCAGATAGGGAGATCCACCTAAAAAAAAGCCAATGGTCAATCGTAAGGAAGAATGAACATATCGCAGTTATAATATTTGTGAATTATTTTACTTTAAAGTAGATCTCTCAGGCCCACTATAGAAACACTGAGGAAAATGTATTTTCTAACAACATACATTCATACCACAGTTCTAGAATATAAAATAGCCCATAATGGTACAAATGGCAGAGAACAAATATTTATTATACAAAATAGAACAATATTTTATACATACCTCTATCTGGATGATTCAATACCATTATCTTTCTGTGTGCTTCTCTTATCTTAGCTTTGTTGGCAGTAGGGCTAAAGGTAATTAAAAGTGAAAATTTACCAGGGGGTAGATGCATGGGTATTAAAGTCAATTATGTTGAATTTAAACTAAGAATGATTGTAAACTGGTTTCACATCACTTTCAAGTGCAGGTAGGAAACCTCAACTACATTTCAACAGTTTATAGTTTTATGTGAAAGTGTAGGTGCATATATTAAAATAACTGAACATCTTTTTCAAATAGGTAAGTGGGCTAGCCCTTAAAATCTTAACAACATCTCTGTCCTTATAATCAATAGATTCTTAATCACTGTAGAAAAAATGTATTCCAATTATTCTTTTCACAAAAATGATAAAGGATTATTTAATGGTGACTATATGAGACTCTGAATTGACATACCTAACCCCCAAAATAAGGGCAGCTTCTCTCTTGGACATTTTTGGCTCAAACCCACCTCTATAGTACCCACCACTGAAAGCCTGTAATTGTAATAAGAACATAATTAAGGATACAGGGAAAGGGAAGCTATTTTGCTTATCTTGCCTGATTGGAGATTTAGTAGAAGGATGAATTTATAGTACATGTTGCTACTTCCTGCATGGATCACTTATCTTTCTGTAATTCCACTGTGGCTGTTTCCATTTGCAACTTACTTTACTTTTGTATCATTACTAATTATAACTAATTTGTTAACTGTACCAGAATCTAAATCTGTGACACAGCTCAACAAGAGCAATGGGCCTGAACTGAATCCTGCGAGTACACTGTTACTTACATCAGCCCTGTGAGGGGTTATGTCTAGTCCCGGATTCATGTGCAAACTTAACATTGGATTCCCATGGCTTTTAAGAGAATTACAAGCATTTATAGCAGCTGTAGGAAAATCAGCTAGACAGACATATTAGAAATCCTTCAAAACCATTCTTTTGTTTATAATTTCCATCAGCATTTCAGCTTTTTATAGATAGAATGAGCTAAATATGAATCTTCAATATCTGAAATAAGCAGGTCAGTTTTCATACTGAATTTTCTGCAAAGCTGAACTTGTTGGAAAGACGGAGCGGACTGCCTTACAGACTTCGGAAGACTCTGGAGGGCTTGTTTTACTTGAGGTTCCATGTGCTTCATTGCCTGCACAGCGTAACGGCCTAAAACAGGAAGAGCGAGACGTCAGGCAAAGCGTTTCAATTTTTTCATGAATGAACCAGTGGCGTGCCGTTTTTTTCTGCAACTCATGCTTTGCATGCCCAATAATGTGCGAACCATGTTAACAGTCTATATCACTACAGTTATTAGAAAACCAGGGTACTGCTGTGAGTGCTACTGATGGACCAGTAGGTGGGACTCTTCCCCCTGAACCAGAGTTTCTAAAACTAAGCACTGGGCAAAGTGCGGGCAAAGGTGCTGAACCTCAGATGAAATCCTAAACCAAGATCCTAACAGCTTGGTCATTAAAGATCCAGTGGAATTGCTTGTAAGAGCATGGATGTTAAACATGGTGCCCTGGCCAGATTTCAGTCAGGGCTCTGTACAGTCTAACCCCAATTATGTTCCCCCTCTACCTACCTAGCTTTCACTCAACTGAAGCACACAGGTAGGTGCTGCACATCAGTGGATGAAGTGAATGCCCCCCGTATGTAAAGCACTGGTATGAAAAACGCCAAATAAATGCAAAGAATTTAAGGCTAGATAGATGTAAGTCAGGATCTAAGAAATCACCCTTTTTTTCCCAGCTGATGTAATGCATACGTTACGTCTCTTTTTCTGATCAACATGACGCCAATTGTGCTGATCTGTCTACAAATCACGCTTTGGAAAAGGCAGCTAAGAAGTGAATCTCCCTTGCTGTGGAATACAGGTCAATAGTGTCTGTCTGTGTTGCATCATGGGATGAACATGTCGAGAGTTGAAGTGTAAATGGATAAAGAATTATTTTCTTGCAGACAAGAATATAAGATTAAACTTATGAGAGCACATACAGAAAAGCAGGGTAAGGCTTGAAAGGGTATTCCACTGAAGCAATCTACAAGATCTCTGAAGACACTCTTCTGCTGGCCTTGTCTACTTTTTGTCAATGATGTCACAGAGCTCACCAGCAACACTTGTAAACTGCTTGGACATCTGGACAAGCTCACAGCGATCTTCAGTTACACAAGACAGTGAGAAACTTCCTTATGGGACAAACGAGATTCAAAATGTCTTGATCAAAGCAGTATAGTCCATTCTGTCATTGCCAAAAATGCTGTAAGTCTTGTTCACTGGTCACAATAAAGAAGGACTTTCTTAAAATATTTGGAAAGAATTGCACTTTTTTCTTTTTTGCAAGGTGGTCTTTGAAACAGGGGAAAGGAGATTGCCCTCTGTTTGACCTTGAGGTGGAACTGTCACTCGAAGCAGAGCAGCTCTGACTGAAAAACTTTATGTTCCTCGTCTTCCTCTATAATGTCCACAATGTGGGACGTGCTGCTGACATGATTCCAAAGGAGATACACAATATCCGGTTTGGTACTCGCTAGAATAATTAAACTTTTCAGAAAGCAAACTATTGTTTAGTTTTAAAAGTTGTCAGAGCTTAATTCACATGCATCTACGCACAACAGGTGAGAGTAGACAGATGCCTAAATGAGCTCTCAGTATATATTCTCAGTTCTAACTTACCCTACTCTACTACAATGGCGTGAGGGTCTTTCTCTGCTTTAAAGCACAGACAGACACTTCCACGCAACTACCTGATCAGTGGACATCTGAAGCCCTGCTGGCTGTCCAAAAGAAACCGCTTGGGTATCTGTGTAACCTACTGGGTTATAAAGCACAGCCCTTTCTGAAAAAAGACAAATGAAATTTAGATTTCAGTAAGGCAAGCAAAAAGCTTTCATTATAGTTGACTTGCTGCCAGAATTAACTTATTGGCTGGATTTAATCATTGTGTGCACATTACAAAAAGTTTTATACCATGCACAAAATGCTATATGCTTGCTTCACAGCACGCCACTGGAAAGAGCACAGAATAAGACAAAATTAGGGATTAGAAAAAATCAGCCACTATTCAAGTCACCAGTAAAACCAGGAATCCTAAGAATATATTAACTCTAGACTGATGCTTTTATTAGTCTGTGCAGCATAGACAAATAAGTTTACACATACTTGTTATTCTTTAAATACAACTGAGAATGCTGCACTTCACCTCAAGCCTTTTGAACTATCACTGTAGAAAGCCATGAAAGTCACAAGAATTACCGAACTTCAAAGCATTTTACAAAGTGGCACAGGCTTGTGTGGTGTCAAATTTGGAATTCAACATACAAACATTAATACTTGAAAACCCACTTCACAGCAATTATTTAAAAATGAAAGGGGAAAGTGAATTGGTTATGATGTAAAATAGTTTTTAAAACCCTTAATTCAATATAAAGAGGTAACTTTGTACAGAATGTCTTCAATTTACCAACCAGCGAATCCCGCAGCCGCTACTGTCAGGCCAACTGCTATCATAGTGCTGGCCTGCAAATAAAAGCAAGACAAAGACCCTTGATTACACAGTCGCTCTAATTGATAGATGAAAAAAATAATTACACTTTCATCTGCAGACTAGAGAAGACAGGGAGATAGGCAACAATAACCGCCAGCACTTCATCAGTATGAAATTACACGTTGTAATTCTTAATTATTTACATTTACATCCTCAATTTCCTGTTACTGGGGTTTTCTCAGGAAAACAATTCCAGTAACCTCCGGACTTCCAAAATGACAAAAGAAATAGTGACTGGCCGTTATGTCATATTTATACAGTTTTTTTTTTTGCATGTTGCTCCATTGTACTTTTTGGAAATTAATCTGTATAAACCTATGCACATTTTGCACATATTTTTATTGTTTTTACAGTGACTATGATCATCATATTTTGCACACACCTATGTATTTATTTTTATTTATTTATTTTGTATAACGTTTCGTCTATTCTGATGTCTGTTTTTGCTTGTCTTGGGCTGGACTGCTGTAACACATCAATTTCCCTATGGAATCAATAAAGTCTTATCTTATCTATCTCTCTCTCATCCTAGCGTTAATCCCGCATCAGCAGGGTCCGCTTGTCGGCACGCCCGTCTCCATTTGGTGGTTTGAACCAAATCTTTGAGCTGACGTTGCCATTAAATAGGACTGAGAAATACTCCAACTGGCGCGTCGCTCCGCCTGCCGTCGGAGGGGGGGGAGGAGATCAAAGTAATGTAGCCAATGCATAGAGGGGGATTATTAGGAGGCCATGATTGGTAAGGGCCAATGGGAAATTTGGCCAGGACGCTGGGGTTACACCCCTACTCTTTTCGAGAAACGCCCTGGGATTTTTAATGACCACAGAGAGTCAGGACCTCGGTTTTAGGTTTCATCCGAAGGACGGCGCCTGTTTACAGTATAGTGTCCCCATCACTATACTGGGGCATTAGGACCCACATGGACCGCAGGGTGAGCGCCCCCTGTTGGCCTCAATAACACCTCTTCCAGCAGCAACCTTAGTTTTTCCCAGGAGGTCTCTCATCCAGGTACTGACCAGGCTCACACCTGCTGAGCTCCAGTGGGCTGCCAATTGCAGGGTGACATGGCTGCTGGCTCTTTATCTTATCTATACAGTTAAAAAAATATCCATGCTGATAACAAAACGTTCTGTTTTTTCTCTACTTACAAATTCCTCCAACTTAACCACTATCCCCAGTACAATATGACTGGACTTAATAGCGTTAATGTCTTGAAATGTGTTCTTAATAATCATATCGTCTTCAAATCGTGCGCCTAAATTCTGGACACCAAGAAAAGCTGTGCTCAAATGAAACTTCCGTGTTGTTAATAACAGCATAGCTACTGGTGTCCTACCGCTATGTTTATCAGCTTGCCTTACTTTTAGGTAGTAACTAATCAATTTTCGCTATTTTTCGAAGAAAAACATAGCTAGCAGGTGTGCTAGAAGAGTCAGTGCAGACAGCTAAAATAATGCCGTTTCCCAGTTTGTGCATGGGAAGACGCCCGTCAGTCTTATTGTTTAAGCAATAGCGTTCTTCATTACCAGAAGCAGGGCTTTTACTCACCATCCTCTGCGCTATGTTTTTGTAATCGTGACAACCATGTGCTTGACCTTATTTTGTTTTCAGACTCTTCTCCCGAGCAGGAACGGCCAGGCTTCCCGAGCGTTTCCACACCGACATGAGGTCACGCCGCGCACTGCCGGAAAGCGACGCAGCCTGTCGCGGCGAGGCGTGATTGACACCCTCGCGCCGCGCGCGACCGCGCAGCCGGGCCGAGCCATGAGCGCGTGCCTGCTGGTCTGGCTCCGGGACACTGTGGCGCAAAACGAGAAATAGAACCGCAATATAACTGAGCTGAACAACAACAAGTTGTGCATGGCGGAGCTGAGCCCTAAAAAGCCTTGAGACTGACATCACAGCCCTCGGCCACTCAAGACTGTTGACCGGACAAGACTGTTAGCTAGATTTCCTGAATTGAATTGAAATTAATCGATTTCACTTCGGGATTAATAAAGTCTTATCTATTGTATCTTCACCAGTATACGAATTGTAACCAGTGGGTGAAGACTGGTGTGGGTATTATCTCGCTAATTTTAAACACGGCATTAAATAAAAAAATAAATTAGCTGATGTGTGGGCGCGTACTGGCGCACTCTGGCTGCCGTCGCATTATCCAGTGGTGCTGCACACTGGGGATGGAGGGGATCCCCATTACCTGTAAAGCGCTTTG